ACCGACGTAATCGCGACCTGTTCACGATTCAGCTTGGAATAAGTTATCGATTCGAGGCACGTAATTTAATATCAAACTGATAATAACGTCGCCGCGCGTCAAAATTAGGGTCTTATTTCGGAAGGCAGTGCACGTACACGTGGACAATATGAGGATCGATGATATTCGAAATACAATCGGCACTATCGTACGGAGACGATCATATATTTGCGCATTTTTTTTACGTAATAAGATAACAATAATTGATTTAAGATTAATCGTAAAGAATCTACGCTTCCTTGAAATTATTCTACAACCGAACCTACACCAAGAAAAATGGTTGAAAATGGACGAACCAGAAGATTCTGATTATATCAATCAGGATTCCGGTTATCTCATTTTAGTAGATTTAACTAGAAAATTTTCTAGTAGATTTAACCAGAATTTTTCAAAAAAATGATGTTATCAACAGCATTATTTTAATTAAAAATAATTTTGTTAATTCACAATAACACTATTAAAACAAACACTATTGAAACAAATAACACTATTGAAACAAATAAAATTATATTAAAACAAGAGTATGATTATTAATGTATTTCATTAATTTGATTTTAATGTATTAATAGCGTTATTATTAAATAAACTAAATTATTTTCAATTAAAACAATACCTACTGTTAATATAACATTATTTTTTCCAGTGTACATAATTCACAAATCTATTCATTTCTTCTACTCAGTGAAAATTCACGTAAAATTTAACAGTGAAACAGTATTTATAATCATAAAATTACGAAAAAAAATCGATATCTCTCTCTCTCTCTCTCTCTATCTATCTATCTATCTATTTTTCTCTTGAATATGCTTTCGAGAATTAGTTCATATCAGTTTTCGGAGAAAAACTATTCGTACAATCCAAGATATCACTCTATCCGATTTTTTTCGACGTCACCATACCACTTTTTCGGACGACGCGCGCAATACCGTGATTGCGCGATAATGCGAAATGCAGAATGGCGTGAAGACCTTACGCGATATCTTTCCTATACAGTGTTGCCACCTGTAGGATTTTTGCAATAATAAAGCGTTTTGACAATATTAACGGATTGCAAAGTCCGGCGACAGAATATTATGTATACGTTTAGAAGAAATCCTATATAAGAACTTCTTTATCAACGACTTTTACGCTTATCTTAAATAATTTATAAATCTATCAGAAACTTTAAAATAGAATTTCATCTAATTCTTATATAATTTTTACATAATTTTACATGCGTATGTATCTTGATGCCATAAGTGCATTTTAAAGTGTATTATATGTATGTATATTTTAATTTTTCAAATGTATCTCATATATGTAAAATTATAAATGAAATTTTGCTATAAATTTCGGCATGATTTACAAATCATCTAAAACAGGTATAAAATTCTAAAAAATAAACAAATGTTCGAAGATATCGAAATTAATATTAAGGTGTATTTAAATATTGATGTTTCATCATTTTGATTCAGAATTTTCTTTTTTCAGACACCATGTCCTTCCAAATCCATTTTTTAATTTTGAAATAATAAAATATAAATAATTTCAAAATCAGATGCTAATATTTTAGAAATAAAACTTTTTTTATGTATTTAGAATTCTTTTTCACATATAAAATAATGTCATGTATATACAAAATACATTAATTCGAACAATAATAATACTTCTCCGACTTATAAATTGAAAGATTAAAAAATTTCAATTATTTATTACTTTAAAAATATATCATTCCTTTTTTCTAACAATAATAAATTATAAAAATTTGTTTTTTATAAATATCCTTTTTAATTTCTTATCACTAAAATTTTTTTATATTTCTAAAACATCTGATTAATTTTGTGAATGCCTAGTAATAATTAAACGCGACATTATTCATATTGAAATGAATATATATATCATGAAATAAAAAAATTGATATATTTCTATCGTTACAAGTCAATACGATGTCGATTGCTATCGCGAATAAATATGTTTCATACGAGAGAGAGAGAGAGTCTGGATATTTCAGAGTCTGGAGAGAGATTGGATATTTCTAATACACAATTCACTTCTAATTCACAATTCTTCCTCTTTTATTTACATCAGAAGTACAATCAAATAATCAAAGAAATAGGGAACAGGAAACAGAATAGAGAATCGAACAGAGAATCGATATGTATCTAAAACAAGGTGAAAATAACTAAAATAAGTAAATTCACTAGATATAAATTAAAATTATAAATTCTAGTAAATTTTTCTAGTAAAATAATTTTTCTAATAATATTTTGATTCTAATAAATTTGCTCATTTTTGTGATTTTCATCCTGATTCAAGATTTATTCACATTGATATTCACATTGAAATCCTTCTTGTAACGATAGAAATATATCAATTTTTTTATTTCATGATATATATTCATTTCAATATGAATAATGTCGCGTTTAATTATTACTAGGCATTCACAAAATTAATCAGATGTTTTAGAAATATAAAAAAATTTTAGTGATAAGAAATTAAAAAGGACATTTATAAAAATCAAATTTTTATAATTTATTATTGTTAGAAAAAAGGAACGATATATTTTTAAAGTAATAAATAACTGAAATTTTTTAATTTAAAACGGGATAAATATATATTCAAGCATTAAAGAAAGAAAAAACGAAAATTCTAAATTTCTGAAGATCAAGTATATCTTGAAAAGAGATGGGAGTGAGAAAGAGAAAGAGATAGAATTATAAAAATAAGTAAATTCACTAGGCATTGATCAATAAAATTATAAATATTCTAATAAATTTACTCATTTCTGTAACCTCGTTTCAAAATACATAATCAATCCTGTTTTCTATTCTTTATTCTCCAATCTCTATTCTTTTTATTGCCTCTAATGTAATCACAGTCACGCATATCAGTAGATATCTACTATAACTTCCGGCGAAGAAATAAATTCAGAATTAGTGATTGCATAATAAACAGACAGATAATACAGTCTAATCGCACCATTGATAAATGTTAATTCGAATAAATACATTGTCCTTTAAGGAAAAGCAGAAAGATATTGATAAGACCAATTGCGTTACAGTATCAGTGCAATCTGAGCTGTATCACGCTTTATTTACAGACTCCCTTGGTCGCGCGGCTCAACGGTAAAAAAAGAGGGACTCGCTGTTTAAAACAGCTGTTTAAGCGGCGCGCCTGAATTGCTTGGAGGAGCGGAACCTGTGTGGTAGCGGAGTTGCGTTGAACGACATTATTCACATACGAGAGCTTTGAGGTTAGGATCTACTTGTGAAGGGACGCGCGAGGACGCAGCTGAGACGATCTCGAATTCTTGGAGGATTTTGTTCTTGAAACAAGATAAAAATGGCAAAAGTGAGCAAATTTACCAAGTACTGACCTGACTGATCAATGAAATTATAAATAGGAAATTCGCTCACTTTTGTAATTTTCGCCTCGTTTCAAAATATAGAATTTAAAATGTAAATTCCCTGATCTCAGTTTCTTTTCGTTCATTTCGGAACGTTATACGTACATTACTTATTTACACACACACGCGTAAATAACATGAGACGCGACGCGACAAGTTTATTATTTATTTTTATTGATGCACTGAACTGCATTACAATTTTCTTTTTCAATTTCGCCAAATATTTAATATAGGATCCGCTGCGTTTCTTGCACTTTTTGCACTCAGAATCTTCGCTTTTTTTCTTTTCAACGCCGAGTATGTATTTAGGTCTGCTCGCATTGCTTGCACTTTTTGCATTTAAAATCTTCGTTTTCTCTATCTTCAACGCCTGAATATATATTTATCTCGTTATAAGTTACAAACATTTTTTTAGAGATTTCAATAAATTTCATGCAATGCGAACAGATCTGTTACCTCATTTTAAGTGCAAAAATTTTTAGGGATTCAATACATCAATAGACTTGATCCTTTCCTTTCACTTCAACTTGGTTTTTTTCATTTTCTGGTTAATTTGTGATTTAAACTTAATTTTATCTGGTAATAATGTAAACATTGTGTTTTTTTTAGCTACAGTAAATTATTAAAAACTTGTTGGTTTTGTAATATATATAGCAGCTTTAAAAAATATTCAAAATCATCAGTTTAGTTTAGATTAAATTAAATCATCAGTTTTCTAGTTGATAAAAAGATATCATTTTTATGTTTTTCATTATTTTTATGTATTTCATCAAGTTGAACCTAACCATAAATTAAATACAAAAGAAAAAATCAGAGCTTTAAATACACAAAGCTTTCTCTTTTTAATGAACTTCTTTTGAACTTCTTGCATGGTCCATCATTTCTCTTATTTTCTCTAATAGGGAGAGAAAAGAAAGAAAACAAATCATGTAAAAAATTCAGCAAAAAGAACAGACGTGAAGAATATACTCTAATTCATGTATAAACAGACTAAGATTCGGTTTTTCATTATTTAATGAAATATAATGATTAACTTGCGATTTAAACTTGACTTCACTTAATTTGACAGTAATTAAAAAATTGAATTCTTCTTGCTGTAATTAATCACTAAACTAACTGCTTTGCAGTAATAATTTCAAAGTTATTGACAACAGAAGTCAATTCAATGATCAACCGTATATTAAAAAATACAATTTTTAAATTACCATTAGAGAGTCGATTGTCTTAAAATGAGGTAAAAAAGTTACAAAAGTGAGTAAATATTCACTAGAACATTTATAATTCATTATATTTCATTAATCAATATCTAGTGATTGCTCATTTTTATAATTTTCATCTCGTTTCAAGATATCACAATCGATTCTAACTATCCAAGTCTAACTACAAATTAACCGATAAATGAAAAACCGGACCCCAATGACGTCACGACGAATCACGAGTGACACACCGCTGCCTTCCGACCGTTCGATCGACTCGCGCGTCCCAAACCTAACCTCAAAAGAAACACACCACGCGGGCGCGATTCTTCGCGCGCGCGGAGCACGAGATAAAGAAAGGATTCGTATAGAGCACATACCTTCGACGCTCCTCACGCAAGCTGAAATACGTCCTCCTTTATTCTGTCACACTCGTGTGGCCTCTCTTTGTGCGGCGATTCACTTGAAAAAAAACAAGCCGGCGACGCCGTGAATGATAGACGAGAGAAATGGGTAGAGGTTGAGGGGACACACAAGGCAGGTAGAAATCCGGTCGAGAAAGTAAGAAAAATTCGCACTTATCGAACACACTGGACGATACAGATGTACATGCGCGTATACATACGTATGTAGATTTATGTATGGCGTTATAATACGCGGGGGAGACACCACGGTACGTTTTCACTGATTTCAATAGTCGCGCACTTCACCAATGGAGTTAGGTTTCACAGGTGAGGGGGGGGGTGAGATGGAGGAGGGCGACGAGGTGTAATAATGTCGGTGACAGCGGTAATAGTGGGAGAGGACGGAGCGGGGGAGGAGGGGGGGAAGGGGGAGGGCAAGAGAGATGAAAACTTGGATACTCGATGTTACGGTGTACTTCCTCTTCGCGCGCGAAACAGCGCGAGCACTCGCGAAACTAGCAGCGCACCTTCGAGGGAAACGGGATGGGAGAAGGGGGAAGGAAGGGGGAAAACCCACTGTCGGTGTCGAGCTTATCGTCGAGCTGTCACCGCGAGCATAATGAGCAGCGCGGGGCACCACTTCCCTCGGCCCCGGAACGTGCCGGATGACGACGCGGCTTCGCGCACGCACAGAAACAAACACACGCACGCACGCCACGCAACACACACACACACACACACACACACACACACACACGGGGGACACGACGAGCGCGAGCGCGCGCGCGGAATTGTATTCTTCGCTCGTGCCTTCGCTTGCGCCTTTCCTTTCGCCGATCGCAATCGGGTCGCGGCCGTGAAACTTTACTGTTGGTATCCGCCGGCGCGTTTCTCTTTCTCTCTCTCTCTCTTTCCCTCTCTATTCTTCAAAGTCGATCGGAGGACGCAAAGAAACGGATTCGCGAGGCGACGATTCGTCGCGCGGCTGGGCGTAACGTGCGCGACGATAATAGCGTTGATAATGTCGATATACCGGTGATTTGACGATCTGTCGATGACTGTGACTCACACACGTGGACACTCCGCTCCACCGCTCGGCCGTTTTGCCGAAGTGCGCCGAAGGGTCTCTTCACTGAGATTCCCGTTCCCGTGTGCGTGGAACACCTTTCTCCTGCTGTCGCTCCTCCACGCTCCGTCAGAAGTTAGAACGAAACGGTTGACAGTCCCGTACTCCGAAAGAGGGACGCGAGCGCGCCACCGGATCAGGTGGCGAGGTGGTATATTAATCCCGCGCTCGTAAGGCCCGGGTTTGTTTTCGTTGGCGCGCGCGAGAAAGAGAAGAAACAAGGGAGACGAAACAGATGGAGCACCCTCGATTTCCGGTTCCTTCAGGTTCTTTCAGGCAGTTTCAGATTCTTTCAGGTTATGACGAGATCGCGGCGTAACCGCGTGACGTCTCGCGGACTACTGACAGTACTAACTGACTCTACACTTGGCCGTTCGTTCGTTCTCGAGGACTATCACGTGGTATCGTCTTTCCCTCGTCGACGATGTCCTGCACTCTCCTTTGCACTCTGTTCGAAGGAACCCGGGGTCCCCGGGAGCCCGCGACGGGACCGACGGGACGACGGGCGCCTTAGGGACGCGCCCCGTCGACGATCCTCGCGCCTGACGATCACGAGGCGGCCGTTCCGTCGACTCCGGCGCTGCTGCCGCCAGACGGACGGAAAAGGAGGAGGAGGAGAAGGAGAATATGCGGTGGAGTGCGCGGTGCGGACGTACTACCGGCTGACACCCCCGCGACAGCGCCGCAATGAACTCGCCCGGTACCGAAGGGTCAAAAGCACCGCGGCAAAATAATAACAGAACGCAGCCGCCGACGCTGCTGTCGCCAACGACAGCGCGTGAGCTGGGCGGTCGCCGCTATTCCTGTCGCCGCCGCCGCCGTCGCCGTTGCCGTTGTCGTTGTCGCCGCCGTCACACGAGCGCGATGACCTTCCTCTCTCTACCTCTACTTCCTCTCCACCACCGCCCGAGATCAGCCGTCACCGGCAGCGGCGTCGTGCCGAGACAATGCCGCAGTCGACAAGACGGCACGGCAACAACAACAATAACAACAACGTCGTCGTCGTCGTCGTGCGCAAGTAACACCGCTGCTATTCCTGATGTTTTTGTTGTTGCCCGTCACGGGATTTTTGTAGCTACTACCTATAACGATGCTGTTGTCGCCGTCACCTGAGAGGATCCTTCTCTCGCCAACGTTGTTGATATCGTTGTTTTTGTTGTTGCTGGTGCTACTGTTGACGGTAGTAGCGATATTGGGGATGACGATAGTGGTGGTTGTTCGCGGCCGCGGGTTTTGG